CTGGACAAGCATATCAGAGCAGCGTCAAAACCAGCTCCCCCCCACCATTCAGAAGAGAGCAGCTCCAGGAGCTGGGGGGGGCCGGGGGGGGAGGGCTCTGCTTCACTGAAGGACCTACGAGGGGGTGGCATCCCCCCATTTGACAGAAGGGACATGGGGACCATGAAACCCAGTGACATAGCAAATGGCCGAGGCGGTCTGCACCCCGGGCCTTGGGCCCCAAGGCCTGCAAGCGAGCTGCTGTCTGCCCCCGCCCCACCCCCCATGCACCCAGCTCAGCGTGGTCTCTGGGCTGCCCTGAAGACCGGAAGAAGATGCCAGAAAACTGGTGGGGGGGGGAGGGGAAGAGACCCCTTTGTGGGCTTCTAGGAGACATCACGAGCCCGAAGCTGGCATCCTGGGGCAGAGGGGGTGTTTGCTGTTGGCTAGAGATGCCCAGATGCTCCAGGTGAGATGTGGCTATGCTGGTGCCAGGGGTGGCAGAGCCCAGTGGGTACCCACCACCTACGTCACGAGCCCCAGGCCTGCCCAGCAGTCACCGTGCTGGCTGTCACCCACAGGTGTGGAGAGGCTCGTTGCCGGGCCGGGAACAGTTCCCGAGGCTGAGGGATGCAGCCTGCCTAGTCTGTGACCCTGCAGGGCACCCTCTGGCACTGGGGCGCTGCCCGCAGGGAGCCGGCCGTGCCCGCAGCTCCTCAAGGCCAGGTCCACCCTCCAAGGCCAGCAGGTTGACACCACAGGAGGCTGGCTTCCTGTTTCTCGAAGGTAGGCAGGGAGGCCACATCCTGCCTCTCCTGGGGGTGTTCTTCTCTGAAAACAGCTCTGGGACAGTGTTCTCTGAGTCCCCAAACCATCTGCCACAGGCCTGGGGCCTCGACCAGGTGCCCCTGATGCTTGGGACACCCTCTACCCCCTCCAGGACTCCCTGTCCTGTAAGACCCCCGCCCCCATCATGGTGGGGGGGAACTTTCCAGCCCTTCTAAAGGATCAACCACCCAACAGCTGCTCCCTGCCGTCTAGGCCAGGAGAGCAAGGCCCAGAGGTTGCCCCATTTGCTCAAGGTCACTTGATCTGCACCTGGTAGAAGGCCTAGGAAGGAAGACCCCTTTGGGAGGGACCCCAAACCCCATATGAGTGATTTCACCCGGTGAGGTGAAGCTGTTTAAAAGCATGCACACTGCCACACTCTGAGTGTCAGGGAGGTGCAGGGGCATGGTGTTTGGGGGTCACAGGAGTGCCCTCAGCTCTGTCGTGGCCACAGGGTGAGTCGCATGGCCTCTGGAGAGGAGGTTCCTGGGGGAGAGCAGAGGGCACTGAGGGCACAGTCTCTCCCGGACACAGGGCGTGGCAGGAAGGTCCAGACTGTACTCAGCATGTTCCAAGAGAGACCAGCTTGGCCACAGAGTCCTCTACCTGCCCCCTCACTCCACCTGGGCCTCTGGGCTGCAGCCTCTCAGGGGACCAGGCTGAGGTTGGAAAGACCCCTGCCCATTCTGCCATCCCCATCGCCTTAACCTCCCCCTGCCAAGGGGCTGTCACTTGCCAGGCCTCGGGGCCCACGTGCAGTGGCCAGACCCCGAAGCTGGCTGTGGTCCTGTGATCCTCTGGCCATGGGGCCCCTGACGTACTGACACCCCTCACTGGGTCCTCATCAACGTCATTGGAAAGGACGTCTGTCCTGGTCCCTGAGCTTGGGCAGGGAGCCCTGATGACAAGGCTGGTCATGTCGTGTCACCCGCAGCTGTGCCCAGGACGCCGTGTGTCCCCCAGGTCGGACGCAGGACCCCTGCCCAGATCCCTCCGTTGGCTCCAGTGCGACCGTCACATGCTGCCCAGCCCCCCAGCCAGTCCATCTCTCCCCAGAGCTCCCGGCTGCCTCCAGCGCCAGGCTGAGAAGCCAGGTCGTCTCCTCCCTCCTTGCCTGAGGCGTCCACCCCGAGCTCAGATCCCCCAAGATGCCACACTGTCCCCGCTGCCCCATGTCTGGGCTGAGACCTGATGGCCCCATCTCTTCCTTTAAGTTTATTTATTTATTTTGAGAGAAAGAAGAGCGAACCCGCGGGGAAGGGGCAGAGGGAGGAGACAGAGGATCTGAAGCGGGCTCCTCTCTGACAGCACAGAGCCTGACACGCGGCTCAAACTCACAAGCTGTGAGATCACGGCGCTCAGGCGACTGAGCCCCCCAGGCGCCCCTCACTCATTTAGTGCGCCCGCGGCCGCGAGGCCCCCGCCCAACACCTCTGGGCACGAGGTCCAGCCCCGCCCGCGGGTGCTGGCCCCTCTCTTCCCGCCCGCTGTGCCCCGCGCCTGGGTGTCGGCCCCCTCCACCCGCCCCCTCCCTGCCAGGCAGAGCGGGTTTGTGGGGACTCCACCAGGGGAAGGCTGCGGGCAAAGGAGGGTACCCGACGGGCTCTGCCACCACAGCCACCCGCACACCCCGCCTGCGGCTCTCTCCTCCCTGTCCGCCCGCCTCTCAGGGCCTTGACTGCCTGGGACCCGCAGCCCCTGGCCTCCGGACGACGGCCGGCTGGGGTCGCAGCCTCCCGCGTGCACGCCCGCCCGTGCAGCCTTGACCCTGAGCGGCCCCGGGCCGGAGGAGGCCCGCACGCCCCCTGGCGGCGGCCCCGGGCAGCGGCCGGGAGCCCGCCCAGCTAGCGTTCCCGGCTGGAGGCAGCGCGCGGGCCCCGCTGGCGAATGGGGAAACTGAGGCCTGCAGGCGGCAGGGGCCTCAAGGCGCATCCCTCAGTTTGCCAGGACGTGGGTTGTGGACCACTGAGGGAGTCGCGGAGACAGATGAGCTCCCCCACAGCTGCCCACGGTGGCCCGCAGCTTGACTTCCCTGGGCTGTTTGACCTGGTGGCAGTCGATGCCCTGTGTAGACGCCCTGCAGGGTCTGAGGCCAGTCCAGGCATCCTGTCCCTGGACCTCGGGTTTGGCCTTGAAAACTCTTGCAATTGTTGAGTCCTGGGGTTTAAACCCAGTCTCAAATGTCGTCGTGGGAGGCCTCCATCTTTCCACTGTACTCAGTCCCATCTCCAGGTGGGGATCTGATGGCGGGGAGGCCTCGGCCGGGAAAGCACTCCCCTGAGGCAGAACAGAAGCGATGATGGAAGATGATAGAAGCTTACTGAGAACACCGCAGGGGAGAGCGTGTCTGATAGAGGCGGTTAAGGGGGCGGTGGGAGGTAGGAACGTTCGGGATTTTCCTTTCCTGGGACCTGTGCCTGGTTGCAGGGAGCCCGGAGGTCAGCTAGTGCGCACAGCTGTCTCAAGGTGGGTGGCCTGGTGGCCCTGTCTGCCCCGGCCGGGGGTCACTGAGGACCCTTCTACCTGACTCAGCTCCCCGTCGCTCGACCTGCTGCCTAAAGCGGCCTCTGCATCCCGGCCCTCCGGCTCGTCCCCCAGGCCTGTCACCCCTCAGGAGTGAAGGCCTTTCCTCACCGTGACTGTCCCCCAGACCGCAGACGGCGTTCTCCAGAACGGAAGTTTGCCGTCCCTTCCTAGACACCGCCCCCCCCAGGGCCCCGGGAACCCTGCCCCGTGTGTCTAATCGCCTCTGGTAGGGGTTCTGGCCAGCACCCGAAGCAGGGGCCCTGTGTCCCAGCCTCCCCGACTCTGCTGCACCCCCCTCCCCACCCTCCTGCCCCCCTCACGATGCGCTCACCTCTGCACAAAACTGGATCTGAACTCAGCACTGCCCCCACCCCCTAGAGTCACCGAATAAAATTGGTTTTCATCTCTGTGACTCCTGTCGGGCTGTGTTGATCTTTTTAGGCCCTGGGAGCCTCTGACACGCTCACAGGGCCTCAAAGATAGCTGTCTGTGCACTTCACTCCTGCCCGCGGCCGGGCCTGCCTGCTGCTCCCCTTGGGGGCGGGGGGGACAGTGCCCTAGACAGTTGGGGGGGTCACACTGGGCAGAGTCGCCCAAAGAAGCCACCCCCACCAGAGCCGGGAAGGGAGTCCTGCAGGCGGTGCCTGGCTGAATTGGGACTGCATGGGGTGCAGGGGCTCAGGGCACAGCAGTGTGACCACGGGTCTCAGACACGGAGGTCCCCTGCCATTGGCTGCCACTCGGGGTTACAGCAAAGATTCGATGCTGCTGGGCTTGGAGTCGTGTCATCCTCTCGTGCAGACGGCTGAGTGTTCCATCTCTCCCCTTCCCTGAGCTGTGTCATCGCGGCCAGCCCACCACTTCCCGGTAGGCGCTGGCCGGTGCTGCGGACCCGCAGCCGTCAGGCCAGGGAACCTCCTTGTCACAGTGAGCGTCCCCGGGTGATGACTCAGCACACGCTGGGAATACAGTACAGGGACCGTAGTGGCGGGAGACCCATGTCCCAGCACGTGCTAAAGCTCCTGCAGGGTCTCAGGCCCAGATAAGCCGGCTCCCTGCCACACACACACACACACACACACACACACACACCGCCCTCCAACACACCCACACGGCTTGCCCCCCCAACCTGCTCCCCACAATGTGCCCCCCCACACCTCACCCGCTCAGCTGTTCCAGGCCAGCGCCACCCCACTGTCACCCCCATGCGGTCTCAAAGGGAAGGGACCTGGAGGGTCGGGTGTTTCCCATGCTCAGCACAGTACAAGGCCGAGGGCCGTCCTCACCCCAGCGCGTGAGGAAACAGAGTAGGCCTCTTCTTATATTGTATGCTTTAATTCAGATTACAAATAACTTACGAAAGTAAAAACAAAAGGACAATAAGTCTTTTTTAGAAATTTTAATAAGAAGGGTGCCTGGGTGGCTCAGTCAGTCAAGCGTCCGACTTTGGCTCAGGTCATGATCTCACAGTTCGTGGGTTCGAGCCCCGTGTTGGGCTCTGTGCTGACAGCTCAGAGCCTGGAGCCTGTTTCAGATTCTGTGTCTCCCTCTCTCTCTGCCCCTCCCCTGCTCATGCTGTCTCTCTCTCAGAAATAAATAAAACATTTAAAAAATGAAAATAAAAGAAATTTTAGTAAGAATTTAAACAGAGAAAGCCTCGTATTTGTATCAACTATGAGTTAAAGCACAGACATCATAGAAGACGAAAGAATACTGTCCAGGGTCCTTTTAGGCCCACGAGGCGGCCCAGGCGCTGGTCACAAGGCACCGCGATCACGTGCCTCCTGCCGAAGGACTAACGGTGTGAGAAACCACCCTTCGCTCCCTGCCTGGTGTCTGGGACGCTTTGTCGGGAACCTGGCCACCTGAGGACACATGCTTTCCCGCCATCAACAGGGCGAGAGCGCTCCTGTCCCTTTCGTCTTCCGATGCGTCTCCTGTCGGGTGAGAGCGCCCAGCGGCCCGCAGCCTGTGCAGACGCCTCCTGTGCGGCCCTGAAAGGGGACAGCTGACCGACCAGGCCGTTGGAAACTGGGGCCCAGCCTGGACATCGCCATCCCCTCCAGGTGACGCCCTCATTGTTTTCTACTAGTTTTGTCCTCATGGCCATAGCCGGGAAGAGCTGATGAGTAATGAGAAAATTCCTGGGATGATGTAGCAAAACAAAGATAGAGGAAAGTAAGCCGCTGACATGGCCTCGGGGGGCCAGGGGGCGGGGGCGGGGGCGGGGGGGGGGCCGGATCTGCAAGCCAGGAGGCACTTCATTCTTTGTAAACACGAAGTTTAAAAAAAAGGGCCTTCTGGGGCGCCTGGGTGGCTTAGTCGGTTAAGCGTCCGACTTTCGCTTAGGTCATGATCTTGCGGTTCGTGGGTTCAAGCCCCGCGTCGGGCTCTGTGCTGACTGCCAGCTCGGAGCCTGGAGCCTGTTTCAGAGTCTGTGACTCCCTCTCTCTCTGACCCTCCTCTGCTCACGCTGTCTCTCTCTCTCTCTCTCCTAGAAATAAAAATAAAAAAACTTTAATTAAAAAAAAAAAGGGCCTTCTCTCTGTGCTTTGGGAGGCCTGTCAGAACTGGTCATGAAATGCCAACCCTCAGAGAGCCGGTGCCACACTGGTGCGTGCAGACGGTAGTGGAGGGGG